GAAACAGATGGACGAGAATAGAATAGGGTTGTCTTCAGTTGATCGAATATGGGAGTACTTTTGTGCGATATCCGATTGCGTGTTTGTTTATTTGTGTGTTTGTGAGTGTATGAACTGAGGGCGAGTGGACCATTAGCGAGATGTAAAGAAAGGGATCGATGAACAGCAACGTGATTGAATCGATTGATGCAGGCAAATAGTTAGGAGTGACGACGTACGATTGACGAGGATCTGATTGGGTGAACTGCGCAGGACACAAGAATGAGAACCTGCGGGAAACAACCATGTCATGATGTCTTATGTACAAACACGGTGGCATGAGCTAGCACTAAGGACGAACTCAGCAGTTTCACGGAGCCTGTATCCATCCCCATGGAGCTTTAAAGCATAGAAAAACAGAATGAAGTAGTGACTAGATTACATGGCTACAACCAATCGGTAGGTGTGCCGAAATTCGAAACAATGACAAGGATGACAATTTTGAGGATGGTGATAAACAATGATAATGACGATGAAGATGACAATGATGATGATCAGAATGGTGACGGGGAGATCAGAAGGGTCTGCAGAGGGTTGATGTAAAAATAAGGAGGGAAGAGACTTTTATAAGGCGAAGGGAATGGAGGTAGGCGGGTAACTCGGGAAAATGCGGGTTTGTGTATGTGATAAAGGCGGTAAACAAGCGCGAGCTGAAAGCATGGTTAGTGGATTTACTCAGTCCGGTAATAGAAACTAACAGGACACGATGGGAAACTATTTCAGCGCAACGTGATTGCGGAGAGGATGAATGAATAGGATGAAAGACTAGTATGGAGGTTGTAACTACTAAAATGTGCTTTGTGTGTGCGCACAATTGATAGTAGTAGTAGTAGCAGCGGAAGTGATTGGAGCAGTAATGATAGAGAGATATTGATGGTTGTGATGATACTAACAGTGTGTTAATCGTCCAATTTGTTTTGAGGATGTGGGAGACTGGGGTCAGCGGCAGAAAAATGACCATACTGTTGCAAGCACACAGTGAAAAGCACGCGCAAATTTGTTTGACCAAGCACAATAATACCCATTTTTGTGTGCTTACAATTGGTGACTCGTGTAAATCGGTTTTTGTTCATAGGGTCGAAAGTTTGAGGGGTTAATGAAACCGGTAAGGCAACTGAAAATACTTCCTCCATTACACAATTGAGCTAACCTGGGTTCCGATTAAGAGGAAGTTGCGAACTGTGCTTACCAAAAGTGCATGTTTCTGAGAACGGAAGAAGAAGAATCGAGATACAATAGTATGTTTGTATACGTACGCTTACGATAACTCCTGCTTAAATAGAGACTCACTTCAATCAGAGATAATGAACCCAGGAACCATCGCCGGCCAAATCAGTTGCTTTGGCGTAGCAGGTTACACAATAATTCTGTCCGTGATTGTTATCCCAAAATTGTTCACCTGTATGGGTTTCATACCGAATGGCGAATTGCGCCCGATCACCGGGTACCATGGTGTCTGGGAACACGACACTAAATGAAAACCGATCTGTAGCTCCATCATGAGAACCTTGCACGTAGGATGCTTGACTGTCGAAAAATGTAACCCAATTGTTGTATGTGATTCGTACTGCAATATGCTTCTCGAAACCCAAACTTTTCACACGTATTGTCCCAGTTAGTATGCCTCGAGGCATATCCACATGACAATCCTCCAGGCAAACTGTCTCATTCAGAACACGACGAATGAAATTTGATGCTGCTCCCGGTTGGGCGAAACAGAGACCAAACTGTTTGGCACCCAGTTTAGCAATGCATTCATCACTATCCAGTTGAAGGTCAAATGTGGCAGATGCCGGAATCTTTGGGGGGTTTTCCTGATCAAACACATGACGCACAGTAGCAAGGTCAAGACCAAGGGCATCGGCAAAACGAACCGCCTTTTGTCCAGGAGTCCCCGGGGGTGTACGGGTTGATTTGAGCGAGCTACTTCTCTTCGGTTTTGGTATTTCATCTGCTGATTCACTACTAGGTGTTGCATCAAACATTTGACGCCCTTCAAATGGTACAAATGTGGGTAAACTGAGCGTATCGGTTAACCGAGCAGAATTAATGGTGGTAACAGGACTGCGTTCTCGGCTTTGACGCTCCCTTGATGTGGGTAAAGGAGGGCGGCTCGTACACACACGGGAGGCTGGCTCCGAATAGGCTCCTAGTTCCTCCAATTCTGATCGCATTTCTTGGGAGACTTTCAAATTTGACATT